GGGCGGACGTTCTGGAACCGGCGGCAGCCTCTGCGGGCATAGTGACCGTTTCTCTTAGTATTCCAACAACCGGCGGTGCCGTGGTCGTCTCGTCCACGTCGCCGGTGTTTCAGCAAGCGTCTGGCGAGTCGACGATACAAACGTTCGCGGAATTATGCAACACCGTGGTCGGTTCTCAGCAACAACAGCAACAGTCTCAACAACAGGCTCAACACAACCAACAGCATGTTTCCAGCCAGGTGAGGAACGCGTAAATTATGATCTCGAGGTAGAACGATAACGGCACTACCGGCATTAAACTACGGCGATGAATCGACGAGCAACGTTGTACCTCGATTAATCGGAAGATTTCGACGACGAAAAAACGCAACGATCTCTGTTAACAGGCAAGTCAGACAAACGGGCCATCGACGACCCTCCTTCCACTGGCGCCGGCGCCCAGTCCGATGTCCTTGGGTTCTACCACGTCGAGCCTCAGTCCCCTTTCCAATATCTCGATAGCGTCGCCACCGGCACCACCGCCGGCTGCCATCACGCCGAGACCACAACCTAGCCCCATTGCAGCGTCCGCGTGTCAAAGGACCGATGCTCCTGGCAAAGACAAGAACAGGAAGAAATCCAAAACCAAAAGTCAACCGAAAACGCGCACCATCAAGTTTCACGAGTACAAAGTGAGTATTTGTATTTACATTTTTCCCAACAATTTCTCTTCGTTTATTCGTTTCATACATTCTTGAACGACGCACGGCAACGTTACAAACTGTATACGAGAGTACCGGGTAACGTACAGTAATTCGAAAGTGTTTTCACTTTGATCGCGTATAGAATGCAACGTTGAAAACTGTTCGTTAATTGCTTAAATCGTCGCTACCTTCTAAAATGAACAATCGCGTGTAGATTAACAAGCGAATAGTTAACCCCTCGTATCGCAAACTCTTAGCCGACGCAAGTATGTAACCCGATGGTTTTACGCGTCAAATGGAACAAGACTCGATGCCACGTTTACTACTTTCACTCTCGATTCTGTTTATACTTCTGGTTGGTGGGCGTGAACACGCGGTTTTTACGGTCCGTAACGTGCAAATATATTACTTAAACGCGAAGCCAGACTGCGCGAAGATAAAAGAAAAAACGAGAAAATGCACGTAACAACCGTTTACGACTCTCCTTCGTATAAAGTGCTTTTATTTGCCCGTCAAAATTGAGGATACATCGAAACTCGATTTCGTGCACATGGCGCAAGATAATCGTCGTGTACCAGCTACCGATCGGTGGTTAACTGGAACGTTTTCGAGGAAAGACGAGGTCAAGGATTTGCCAAGTATCGAGAAAGATACGTAGAAAAACGTGGAAAAGTAGTTCGAAGTCGACGATGAGGAACGGAGGACAACGGTGAGCAAAGACAAAACGGAAGAGTAAGACCAGCAAAAAAAGCTCGCGGTACGAAAAAGCAGAAGGGGGAGAAACGAAGAGAAAAGAAAGCAAATCGGAATGGCTAAACAAAGCGAAGGAATGAAAGATGGAATAAGACCACGTAAGAAAAGAAGGAAGCGCAAGAGGAGTAGAAACGAAATAAAAAGTAATATACTGGGTGTCTATAAATTTCTGCCGTTTCAAATAATAGCCAAATAGTTTCGCTAGACTCTTATAGGACTCTTCTAGAGATCTCTTAAGCTAATCCTGAATGTCCTTTTTAGATAGAACGGTAATGGGGGGAAATGAGACGTTACTTTTTACGTTAGATATAATGCACGATAACTCACGGCTATTATCGCAAACTTTCTTTCCCCGAGTTTCGTTAAGTAAGCCTAGTTCGAATGCCGTTCTATATAAGAAACGAAAAGAAATTTTTAGGTACCCTGTATATTATGAACGATCTGGAACTCCTATAGTCGAGAAGGAAGCGATCTTTCTGTTTCTCTTTTTCCTCTCGAAACAAGAGAGAAGCGCAGAAGAAGATCGTATCGGGTGATTAACTCTCGCGATCTCTCGAAGGTCTCGGAGGTTCGGTGCTGCGGGCCCACGAGGGCCCACCTCGTTAGCTCTGAGTAATTCGAGCGCTAATTGCACCTAAGAGCGAGGAAGCCAAGGAGCGGCGAAGAAACGAAGCGGTTCGAAGCGGGTCCACGAAGTCGGTAGGGTGATCGAAACGATGGGAGGGAGAAAAGATAGGTGCCAAGGGCCCCGGTCGCGCTCCCGAAACATTCGGGATATGGCGTAGCCAGTGTGAAAGCGAACCGGGAATGGGCGTGCAAATGAGGCTCCAGAAAACATCTTGATGTATCATTTATCACTCGCGTCTTCTTCTCTCCTACGTTGCCGATCTCATCTTCCATGGTCCGGGGGTAACTCGATTTTTTCGTCGTCTCTTCTCGCCGATGCGTTGCCGCCAACACAATATTTCCTATTATTCTCGTTCGAGGCACAACGTAAACAATTTCTGGCTTTCATTAAACGAGATGTCTCCGCTTTACCGATCCTTGCCCACAAATTTTTCTCGAATCGAGAAACGTTACTTTTTCCAAAGGAAGACGTAAAGCGAGTTTTGTTGCATGGTTTCGATCAGAAGCGGTGATATAAGGACAAAGGGAGTACCGAATAAGGCGATTTAGGTAATCCGTAGCGGATAATGTTACGTGTAATAACGTTACGTGGAAATTAATTACACATCCGGTACTTTCGACGAAGATCATCGCGGAACGATGTATCGGATTTGCGATGGCTGTCACGATTAAGTCGTTAATCCGAAGACACAATGGATACCAGGCCCATTTTGAGCCCGGACCAGGATGCAGGTGATTAATATCGACTGATGTTGACTGATCGGTGTTCGCAGGGCCCGCCAAACGCGCAAAAGACGTCCGTGTCGTCTAGCACTTCCGGTCTTGGCTCGGCGCCTCCCGGCGAAACTAGCTACGAGCTCCTCCTTCAGCAGCAGCAACTTTTCCTGCAATGGCAGCTCGAATGGCAGCACAAGGTACGCGCGCGTTAACTCGTAAGTCGAAACTGCCGGCCGAAGCGTGAACGAAAGCAAATAGAACGCGTTCGGTTTCCTCGTTTTGTTCGCGATACTCGAGCGACTTTCTCCCGATAATTTTCACGGCAATTGCGTTATTACGTCTAAATTTACAATCGAAGAGATCGGGTTCACGTTGCGGCGACAACACGACTTCGATCGTCCATTTTCTGCGTATAATTAACTTAGCTGGACCGTTGCGTAACTGGAAACTTTCGTTGCTTGTTCAGTATCCTCAGATTATTCTACCGGCAGCACAAAAACCGTTGTCCCTGAATAGCAGCGGCGCCAGCGACGCTGGAAGCATCAGCGGAAGCAGCGTCAACGCGCCGAGTCCTGCACCCTCAAATTCCTCTAATAACCCCTCGGAACAACCTCCGTTGAGGCCTTTAGGCAAGCTGGAGGATATGAAAGGTAAACCAAATGACCATTTCCATGGAACCAGACTGTAGAAAATATTACAGTAACGACGATTAATCGAGGGAAACGTTACTCTTTCAGTAAGCGATCTCAAAGTGGAATTGAAACGTCGAAACTTGCCAGTATCTGGTTCGAAACCACAACTTATCGAAAGATTAAAGCCTTTCACGGAATCGTCCAGCAGCAACTCGACGTCCAACTCGAATGGTCCGCACGTGACGCATATGGGTCACATATTGATGGACACACCGGGACCAATGACGTCCGACGAGTCTAGTTCGCATGCCAAAAGTCCTGGTTCCACCGTCAAGGATGAACCCAATAGTCCACGAATGGACTCTCCGCATGGCAGTGAACACGATGACCCATCGAGTCCACCAGGTACTTGTCTCTTCGGTATTTATCGTTACAACTGTATCGGTAACTTCGGCATTTGCTGCCGGAACATCGCGATACTAGTTTCTTTTCTCAAGTTCTGATACAGATCTATTTAAACTTCTCATCCCGGAAGCAAACTCTTTCGACGATACGACCATAACCATGATCTAATAACGTTGCATAGAAGATAATTTAATACATAGTGATCTAACGCTCACATAACTTTTTTTTCAAGTAATTAACGAATACGCGGATCGAAAAGACCAAAAGAAACTTTTCGGAACGTAACACACGTCGGTGTTTTCACGATGTAGCTCGTGTTTCAGGAGACGACATAATCAAAGAGCAAAGAAAGCGAATAGAAGAATTGCAGCGAGAGTTGTATAAATCGCAGCAGCAACTTCAACAAATTCGTCAAACTCAACCGACAACCGTTCACGCTGAGAAACTAGTACTTCAGCAACATATACAGAACAAGATGCAGCAACAACAGTTGGCGTTGCACTTACAACAGTTGCAGCATCTACAGCAACAGCAACAACAACATCAGCAGCAGCAGCAACAGCAACAACAACAGCAGCAGCAGCAGCAGCAGCAACAACAACAACAACAACAACAGAATCAACAACAATCACAACAGCATGCCACGTTTCAACAGTTGAACGCGAAAGCGAGCCTTGCCGCGTTCTTGCAAGCACAACCGAACAATACTACCGCCATTCTGGACTCGACCACCTTGACCGCGATTAACAACAAGAAAAACCAAACAAAGAACAACGCTACTGTACAAATTCCTGCTGCGATCGTTTTCAATTTACCAAAACCTACGAAATTGAATGGCTCGTTGATTAGTGCTTTAGTGGCGCAAGCACAGGCACAGCAGCAACAACAACAACAACAGCAGCAGCAGCAGCAGCAACAGCAGCAGCAACAACAACAACAGCAACGGCAGCAGCAGCAACAACAGCAGCAGCAGAATGTCGCGTCCGAAGAAGGCAAACCACCGCCGCCTCAGTACGACGAAGCCGCAAAACTTTTGAAGGTGAGAATATTCTTTATACGTATCATTATAATATGCTAAAAAAAATAACGAGTTAGCAAAAGATGTGCCGACTGATTAATTATTAGAAGTGGAAAGATGGATTCTGATTATTTCTCGTTTTGTCCAGGTAAAGATCGAGCCAGTTCCGAAAAGTCACATTAAAAGTCAAGTTGTGGACGACGTGTTGGAGATTCTGATTAAGAACGGCGAATTACCACCAAGCGCTGCTCAGGATCCGGCTACGCCGACTACACCCAACAGACAACTCCAACAGAATCTGGTGTTCACAGCGCCGGCAGACAGTCAGACACATTCGTTGGTTTTCACCGCTGCTAGTCCAATCAGTCCGATCAGTCCGATCGCGATGGAGGTTTCCCAAAGCGATTGCGTGAGTTCACCGGCACCGGCACCACCGCCACCACCCCCATTGCCTCTGGCCACGTTCTCGATTCAATTACCCACTGCGTTACAACAGTTACAGCAGCAGGAGGAGATCACGTCGTTCAACACGGACCTATTAAGTACCGAGGGTGACCTGGACACTGCGATGTTGCTCAGCCCACAGTCCACGCAACAGACATCGCCTGATCCTCAACCACCGCAGGAAGTCACATCCTCGGATAACGCTAACTTAGACCTGAAGGTAAGTTCGCTACCGAATCGAGTTAACGACCAATATCGCGTAGACTCGGACGAAGACATCTTCTTTTTAAAGTAACTGAATTTAAGAAAGAGGAACAATGAACCACAATCGATAACCGTTGAAATAGAACGAACGCAGAACCATAAATTTCCTGATTCTCGTTTTAGGAACTTGAACTAGACCTGGACACGATGGATTTCAGCCAATTGGACTGTGATCTTGGAGTGAAAATGGAAGCGCAACAAGAACTGATGGACATCGGAGATATGCCCATGGACATGGACGACCCAGACTGGTTAGACTCTCTGATGCGACAATCACCTCCGACCGCTTCGACGACCGTTTCTAATCACCAACCACCTCCAACGAGTATGTCGAGTGGTACGGACATATACGATCCATTGTTGGCCAGCAGTCAAGATCCGTTCGACCTGTTCAACATGGAAGATTCCGATTTCAAAATGTCGTCCGATTTGTCGCTAACCTGGGACAAAGTCGACTTTGCGACCTAGCCCGAGTTTCCCTTGTGGTGCTCGGCCCTGTGTACTTAATTATTATCGACGGAAAATCGGGAAAGCTTATCGCGAAACGCGGGAAGATTTTGGGGCAGTGTCAGCCCAGGTGCTTAGCGTGTTGTGATCAATTAGTGACCCGTCTGGTGCATTTCAACAAATCGTTTCGCGGATACTTGCCTCTGTTCTGTTCTCTGTTAGCAATTCCAGCCTTCTATGGATATACCGTGAACATTCGAACGTACTTACGCGCGAACATTAACGTTTCGCGCATCGAGCGGAGGGACTCCCGCTTGCGAGTAAAGTAGCTGTACAATCGTCATGATCGACGAATCTAGGTGAGTAATTGAGGAATGCACAATCGCGGGAGGATCTTATCGTGGAAGCAACCAGACCGCGATGCGGTTGAAATTTTTCGAAGATTTTTTTTTAGAACTTCGATCTTTCTCGGTTAGTAAAAAAAAACCGATGCGCGTGTACGTTTCGCAAGATCCGTCGCGTTAAACTCGAAAATCCGTTTCCGTTAATTATAACGGAGAGAAACGATATCGATCGATCGATCGTTAGAAATAGAACGAACGTACAGCAGAAAGTGTGGCGAGGACTCGATCGTCCCGGTAATCGGGAATAAAACAACGACGAGACGTCTTCAAAATTCTCCAAAGAATTTCCTTGCGAGCGTTCTTAGCTAGTTTTTACTATCCAGTCTACAATGGTGTGCTGCTTCGGTTTTAATAACTGCGAAATAGCGTGTGTGTTAAACTGGGAAACAAGAAAAATGGGAAAGCTGCGTATGTGTTTTTTCTCGTGTGCTTCCCCCCTCTTCCCCATCCTGTTCCCACCGCCACTTTCCTCTTCCGTACACTTCCTTCCCCTAGCTTCAAAAACAGTACCATATTCGATTGTATTAACGTAATCAGGATTAATGATTATTATTATTATTATTATTATTACCATTTTACAAGAATAATATAATATAATATAATATAATATAATATAATATAATATAACGATCGTAAAACTATGTATCTGTGTATACGCGTATAGATACGTGTACGTGAGTACATACATACATATGCGTATATGTAAAATAATCGATACATGCTGCGTTCGAAAGTCAAGATGACGCGAAAGGAAAAAACAAGCACTACTAAAAGAAAACGAAAGATCGAAAGAAGCAAGCTCGATGACTTTCCTATACAGACATGTATCATTTTCTAAGCCAGAGCATGTGATTTTAGAGGTTACACATACATACTTTTTAATCGGTTATAATCGCATAGAAATGGTCGGAATGATTGCGAACAGAAAATTGTACCGATGTCAGGGTATCGTGCGGTTCTACTGTTTCTTCGTTTTCCCTCTTACGAGTCTTTTTTTCTGTTGTTTTTTTTGTGACATTCCATGTTTTCAAACTCGCACTAGCAAGAGATCGAAGCTACCGCGTATACCGCGAGCAACGCTTCTGTACACTGTACTTAAGCAAAAAGAGAAAAAGAACGGAAGGATTCGTCTCAGAATCTTGATTGGCCAAAACGAAACGTTTCAACGGATATCCTTGTCTGTGTATATTGCAATCTAATTGCAATTCTAGCAGTAAACGTTATATGTTTATGTTTAATTCAACTTCAAACTGAATCATACTTATGCGTTAGTGTGATATTAGAAAAAAAAATGAAACGATTACGTTGAAATTTCGTGTATTTCGTAGCATACGACGATACATGTAACTTCTCTACGAAATATTAAACGGGCTAAAACGAATAGCGCCTCGCATTTTTCTGAGACATTCTTTGCAGAACCAAGTGGCTTCGTACGTCGACGTAACGATAAAGGATCGCACTGCCTAAATCGGTAATAAAAGGAGCAAATGGTGAATGCGTACTGTGTTACCGAGCGTGGATAAAATACGTGAAAATGTACCGAACAATATCGATTCGTAGTGATGGGCCATGAAACGCTTCGTTGAAAATTTTATTCGAATCATAAAAGTATCGATACTCTTTGAACGTTTGAAAGTATTATCAATTTCGAAGATTTCGGAGGCCTCGAACATCTTGAAATTTTGAGAGTATTAAAATTATTGAAAATTTTCAAACTCACGAGTGTATCGTTTTTAAAAAATACTAACATTTCAAGCGTTTTAACGATGCGACGATTCGAATAAAATACAGAATGATTTCCAAGAGGAAATTTTCAGCAGCCATCGCTACGAGTACGTAAACAATGACGGTGCTAATTGGAACCCCATTAGAATTATCAATTATCCCTGAAACACAACCAATTTAATCGCAAACTTTTCCTGCGCGATAGATATCAACGGTATAATTTGAAATACTACTACAAAAAGTTACGAATAATTCATTTCAATGAATATCGACGAACAATTTCTAGATACAGAGAGTGTTTTGTCGATTCAAGTAGATTAGGCGTGATCCCTTTATTTCACGATCAAAAGTGGCAATTTGGCAAACGTACGTATATACAATATACAATCGTCGAACAATGATCATATCACCCCATATCGCACAAATGAACAGCAAAGGTATGCAACATTCCAAACTTTCACACGCAACAGAGAAACATCCCACGAACCTCGAAACACCATGTTCCTCGATTGAATTTCGATTGAATTTCGATTGAATTTCGATAGAACTTCGAGACAACTTGATCGAACTTTCAGCTTTCTATCTGCTACTTTACGTAATTAAGAAAATATTAATGCTGCTTTATAATCTATTTGAATGAAATGAAATTTATGGTACTCCCGGTGGGCAGTCGAATTAAGCTTTTGTAGTAGTAACGCTATTAGACAGTTTCGTTTTCTTTTCTTTTATCAATCGTTCGATTGCGTTACATACGAGACATCGGCGCTTTAATTCACGGCGTCAACTCGTAATCGATATCCATTCGAAATCTGTGCATTTAAAAGTCAAAATTGATTCCTGTTAACCGGATGATCATATATGTAGGTCGCTTGATGTTCATGCTACTAACGCTGCATTTAAATCCTAGTATTGCGATAGACAAAACGAAAAAGATGCATCACGCTTTCGCCATAAGAAAGAGGGAACATGGTGGGTAAACGAGGTAGAAGATTGTGCCAAAAATCCCCTTGCCACCGCGTATCGCCTCATTACACAAATTCTACCACCCGTTGCCATGACAATAAACGTTCTTAATCGCGTTGTAAAATAATGTATCATATGTGAGCTAGAATCGCGACTGCTGTTGATACGACGTCGGTGAGGCGGATTAATACGTAAGAATTTAGGGGAAAGTTTCATAAACAATTACAACGATAACGAATCCGCCAAAAAGACGAACAAAACACGACGTACGATCCCCTTATTTCTTTTTTCTTTCCTTTTCTTTTCATTTTCTTTCTTTTCTTCAATTATTTCTCAACGTATCGCAGCAAAAATCGTTTCTTAGCCTTGCTATCCTGTAATTATTTTACTTTCTTCGAATCATGAAATCTATTGATGATTGATTTGTCAGGCTGTGCGAATCTGGTAGTCTGTCGTGAGACGCGTGAAAGTGTCTTTTTCTTTGTATAATAAGATGTATGAGAGTGTATCGAATGAAAATATAAAGAAAAAAAAAGAAGTGGAACAAGAACACGTAACGGAACGGATGAGATTTCAGGATGCAAAACTCGTCTGTGCGTGGAGTTTATTTGTGAAAGATATTTGTATAACAACACTACGCGCGATTGCACCGAATACAATGCAAGATTCAAACACAAATAAATATGAACACCCGTACGTGCACGCGCGGATACACACACACATACAACAATCACATGAACATATTTTGTATGAGTATGCGAAGAAGAAAAGATATAAGTTTTGTTAAGTATCTATGAACTTATTGTAATAATGTACGATTAAGTAACGATCACGTAATTATTGCTAGAGAGAGTGTTATTTATTTTTATTTGTTGCAAATTTATCGATTGCCTTCCATTTGAGTAAATAAATAAATTTAAAGTTACCGGAGGATCTGTTCCTTTCCTTCCCGCCGTTTCTCCGAACGCGTTGTTAATATTTATCTCGTGACAAAATCTATGAGAATTTATTTCCTTGATTTAATGTATGTTCGAGGTTTCTATTTTGAACAACATATTTTCTCTTACGATTTCAAATTTATTTACGATTTATATTTCAAAGTTCTAATCGTGCATATCATAAATAGTGTGCATACGCATGCGCGTTGAATGACTTAACGGCTGATCCATACACAAATGTCAGAGTTGTTTGGTGATTCGTAAATTTAGCGTTGAATAAAAATAAACAAATGTGAAAAGAATGAAAAGCAACAAAAAATGTGTGACATTAATCACGCGTACGTAAAATTGTTTCGAGGGCAAAGTAATCAATCTTCCATCGCTTATTCGTATCTGGACTTTATTAATACAAGTCATGGTACAAACATAACCTCTACGATGTTTACACGAAAGTTTTGATTAGTGTGAAATTCCTAGAACTTGAAATAGGTAATTTTAATCAGTAATAGTTTTTATGTTATTCATTCTTTTAACAAATGTAATTGGGATTTTTAGTCTAACTGTAATTTTTAGTATTTTACTATATATGTTGTATTATGCTATTTATATCCAACGAACAAAGTGCCAAAATCCTGTTTCACAGTATAAACATATATTCTAGGTAAAAACATTATCCTGAAAGCACAAAAAAAGAGCAACAATGAAACGCAAGCCAAGATTTTCGTCGACCGATGCAACAGCCCCAAAGAAACATCATTGGGCAACTGGTTTGCTTGTTTCTATGGAGGATCCTCAACTGAAAGTAAAGGAAGATGATAAAATCGTTGTCATTAAGGACAAATATCCAAAAGCCCAATTTCATTACCTGATCTTACCAAAAGCTGATATCCCGTCATTATGGCACGTTAAAATGGAAAATGAAGATTTATTGTTTCATATGGATAGGATCGCCAATGAATTAATTAAAGAGCACAAGGATTCTGAATTCTTGTATGTATACGTAATACTTATTGCTCAACGTTATAATTGAAGATTACGATACTGAGCATTCGACATATTTTTGATAGCATTGGATATCATGCTGTACCCAGCATGCATCGGCTACACTTACATGTAATAAGTACCGACTTTAATAGTCCGTGTCTAAAAACAAAATATCACTGGAATTCGTTTACAACTCCTTTCTTTTTACACTCGAAAGGTGAGCATATATATTATTTTGATAAAAAGTAAATTTTACTGTCTAACTATTGCAGATGTTTGTAACCAATTGCGCGAGAAAGGTGAACTTAAAAGATTGAAGTCCGAGGACAGTGCCGAACATTTGAATACTCCGCTGAAATGTCACAGATGTTCAGCTACTCCAAAGAATATGCCTGATTTGAAACGACACCTGTTGGTTCATTTATCGGATCGAAAGAACATTAATATGGATTAGTATAACAAACATCAATTTAATACACAGGTTGATTCGAATAAGAATCAATAATGTATCCAACCATTTAGATGCGTGTTTTTATCCCAAGATTTCGCTGATTATAAATGAATTTAGTAATAGATATATTCTTGTGAATTTTGAATTAATATTAAATGTAAAATGCTGAAGATTTACGGTATTACTTATTGACAAAGTTATAACATCAGAATACTAAATATTATGTAATTAGCAGTGTATATTAATACACGATTCTGTACATACTTACCTATATTTATTGCAATCCCCATTTACATTAAACTTGCAAATAGAAATGGCTTTGACAGGATAGGAAAGGTTCGATCGATTAATAACACAGAGATATATGGTATTTCGGAAAATTTACTATAAATAAATTTGATGTTAATAGGTCTTGTCGCCTATAATATCAATTACGTGCTAACTATTTACAAGAGTCTTCTTATCCGATGTGAAGTATTTAATGTGTGTATGTGTACATAAGTAAATCGTTAATGTTGGTGTTGGTGTGTAAGTATATTTTTTTAGTCTGTATACATTTAGTAATACTGCAATTAATAGTTGAACCGTCCTTGTTACGCCGAAACGGTAGGCATTCGAATAAATCGCAAGGCCTTGTTATTATTGCTTGCGTGTAAGTTTACTTACAGTGTTCGTACGGTGTTCGAACGTTCGTTTCCATTTCCCTTTACACGTTTTTCACATGCTTTTCTTAAGTATTCGTTCCTCCCTCTCGCGAGTGTGTATGTATATATATATATATATATATATATATATACACATACATATATACATACATATATTAATTAAATTAGCTATTTCTGTTTCGCTTGTTCGCATCGCAAGCTCTCTCAACGAATACGTTCCGAGAGATTTCCGCCGGGCTAAAGTATCGAATAAACTATAATACAAAGGAGGTAAAGCGCGTCGCCTTCAAGGGTTAGGAATCTCATAAGACCAGTCTCCAAAACTAACGGAAAACTATTTTATAATAAAAGCGACCACCTTTCCCCGGTTGAAGGAAACAGAAGCCCAGGGAAAAGAAGGAAATACACGCGTTTCCACCTGAAAGTTTGCAACGCCTGCATAAAACGTAGAACCTGCAAAGTTTACTACAGTGGAAATACGCTCGTGTCCGATAGCCATCGTGTCATTGATCCATGATTAATGAGTCGAGGATCAATGACAGGAGACTAAACACAGACGCATTCTTTCTTCAAAATGGAAGTAGCATCTCGTCGATGTAGCGAGGAACTTTGGTCGGGCTTTTGCCGTGAACGATCGAAGCGTTATCGTGAAATTTCACGACGCTTCTAGAATTTTTGCAAACATCATTGACACACGCTTGCTTCGTTTTGACGGAAAGATTGCGTTTGCTGCTTCGATCGACGTTATCGAAACCCTACTCTCTCTCCACAAATCGGCGCGACGGTAGAAGGAAATACGCGAGGGTAGGAAACGGGACGACAACGACTGGATTCCTTCTCGTGATCGATTCTCACTATAGTCAAAGAGAAAATCGGCGAGATAACCGCGAGACGATCGTCGATTCTGCGCGTCTCGTTTTCGCCCGCAAGCACCGTACATGGCACGCCAAAAGCGGTCATTTTGGAAAGCCACTGGGCACGAGGACAATGCCGGTTCGTAAAACAAACCACCATTATTTCGAGCATACTCGCGCGATATCACAGACGCAACGATCGAACTCGCCGATTTCACCGGATCCTCTTTCAAATACCCTGTTTAAGTCTTATAAGTATCGCGAGAAGAAAGGTACAGAAGTTGCTTTTGATTATAATACAAGGAAAGTCGCGGATCAAATTCGTGCGATTCAGTCGTGCCAACGGTAACATCAACAAAGTAGATTAAACCTAAGCGCGTCTTTTCTGGCCTAAAACCTAAGAATGAACATTTATACACGATTTCCCTAACTATTATTCACAATTCATAAATATTTTATATAACTGTATGCGTATATATGTATTTATATATATATATATATATATACTTCTTAATATATATAGAATATTTATGTATAGATAATATACAGGTATCATACAATTCGGGGAATCGACTGAATCGCACAAGTCAAAATTGAACAGCGTTCCGATACGTCGACGGTAAACGCGGCAGTATTATTTACAGATTATCTAAAATTACAGCTAAAGGCAATACATGAATAATATGTATAGTTATAGAACGTATATAAACAGATCGAGTACGTACATATACGCGGGGACGCTCCAACGAACGCGCTTGCGTGTAGGTACGTACATCTACACGCGGGGACGGCCCGGCATTCACGCATGCGTATAGGTACGTACGCAATGGAGAACGGCGCTATATTAGTAAATAGTAGTAGTATAATAATAGCAGTGGTGGTAGTAGTACTAGTAGTAGTAGTAGTAATAATAGTAATAGTAGTAGTAGTAGTAATAGTATAGTAGTAATAGGAGTAGCAGTAGTAGTAGAAGTAGTAGTAGCAGAAGTAATAATAATAATAATAATAGTCGCAGTGATGGTAGCGGTAGTATTACTAAGTCCGATGTATAACTCCTACATGAACGACGTATGGGAACATAAACGATAAAAAAAATAAATAATCGAGGACGAATACGGAGAAATAAATTAAGAAACATCGCGTGTGAAAAAAAAAAACGAAACAAAAAAAAAGGGAAAAAAAAGAGAATCGTCGCTGCTTAAATACGTATTGTCGATAGTTACGAGGGGAGAGAAATACTTATGCTGATAATACAGCGTAGCGGTTAATCAACGTCTTTAACAATAATTCGTAATGTAACTAAATACTAGAAAAATTAGGGTAATAGTATGAACGATAACGAACATTAGTTTGAACGCACTCAATGTATGTTGGTATGATGTGCTTTTGTGTCGTGTGTGTAAGCGCGCGCGCGCGCCTGTGTGAACGAGTGTAGGTGTGATTTCGCATCTAAACGGGGCTACTACTCTTAAAGCTATCCTCTTTTAAACGATTCTATCGCCTATCTACTTAATTCAGAGGGTCACGTTCAAATTTGTCAAGTCTTTTACAGGACGAGGAAAAGTTCCATTTTCCTCCAATAATTTCCACCGCTTCTCCTTTCTTCTTTTATACAACGAACATTGTGTCATTACTTAAATGACTACTAAGCATTTCTCTTCGATTAAAATCTAAATGTTGTCCTAAATTCCCGGCTGTACACGCGTTGTTCGATCGAGTCCGCGAGAGCCAGATTAGCGATCAAGGATTAAAAATACGGGCCAAAAGATGAAGAACGAGAGAGAGAGAGAGAGAGAAAGAGAGAGTGTGTGTGTGTGTGGGAAGAAAAAAAATACCGTGGTCGGACAACGATTTTTGTACTTACGTAGATCCACATACGAGAGAGACCTATTTATTATACAGAGTTAATAATATGTGTGTGCTTTACGTAGCCTGTCTCTTCGTGAAATCGCGCTAAATATTTACAACGTATCGAGAAGGGGAAACACGGGACAACAAACAACGAGAAGAGAATACTGTAAAATGAAGAGAGCAAGGAATGCGTCGGAATAAACGCGCAACCATTCCGAAGATCCCTTTTCCAGGCGATGTAAAAACACGACTTAAAGCTGTAAAGCAATACGTTGTCTTCCACCGTATTCTTTTATAAAGTTTTCTTCCGTTATTTTTTCTATTTTTTTTTTTTGGTTAACTTCGACTATATGAATTGACCGCCTAGATTCGCGAGGTCGACAGCAGGAAGCAGCATCGTCGCGAATCAACTACCCCTCTCTGCGATCACCGCTAGAGTCTACGCTTCAAACAACTTTCCAATAATTTTCTATGTAAATTTAGCTATATTTGGAACTGAATAATACGCTGCTGTCGAGTGCGCGAACGATCGACGCGTGTCTAGGTCAATTCGGATTTTAATACGCATCAAATACGTGTACGTACGATTAGTCTTTTCGTTTTTCTCTAATGTGTCGACGGAATTTTAATCGTGATATCCCGATTACGCGTGCACGACCGATGACCAACAACGAAATTCATTCTTTGAAACGATCAAAAGTTCGATTCCTTTTCAAAAACCGTCGATATAAGGCGTCCTCGTTACGCGTCAGCAGCGACACCGTGCGCTAACACGCAAGGCTAATAAACTTCGGCTAAAAATTTCGCTATCCCTCGTGTGTATTTATCGTGCTAGAAATACACCGTACAGCTGTGTGTGTGTGTGTGTGTGTGTTCAAGGTACTTCGGAGGTTGATAATAAATAACGAACTTGAGTGAAAAATGACGATAGGTAGCTGCACGATGATTTCGTTAGGTTTTCCTATCCTAAGTCCTGATGCCCGGGGCATTTCCACCACAGGGTCATCCCAAATACAATAACAACGTTTTGAATTTGATCTAGAAAATTTGTCCTAAAGCTGTACAGAGAACACGCTTCGTACGCGCTAGAATGCTAACATATCCTAGAATATATCTCCCTTAACGACAAGTTACAGGCTAACAAACGATCTCTCGCTCTTTCTCTCTGTCTACATATAGATATACACATATACACGCGTGTATGCATATATATATATACATGCATATGTATATAATCGCCTACTCTGGCCACGAACGAGTACACGAGTTTCAACGATCGCGCCTCGCGGACAACATTTACCGTTTTACGATGAAACGTTCTTTCGCACTAGTTCCGTTCAAAACTATGTTGGTTCAGTCTTCTGTTTAAGCGGTGGTGGTAGATTCTTGCAGGCCGTAGTAGTGGACTCGCGTGTTCTCGATCGCTCTACACCACTCCAATGCGAATCCTTCGGGATCTTCGAGATAATATGTTCTGTTTGGCTGTAGGAGAGAAAAAGCAGCCTATTGAGAAATTGCGCGAACGGCAAGTACGTAGAAGGAGAAAGAACGAAAAAGGTGGAAAAACTTACCGTGTGAACGAAGAAGATTTTAAAGCTCTTCGGCTCGACCCTTAGTTCCGGGCTCCAGGGTATCTCGCCCTTGAGCACCATGTTCACAGGATCGACGTAGTACAAGTGTGGTCCGGTGGTTAGCAAAAGCATTCTCCGCCTGGCGAACAGGCCTTTCCTCTTGTTCACGAAGCCCTGTTTCAATATCAGGTTACCCTCGACGAAGATGTCCCACTGATTGGACGCGCGTTGCTTTTCCAGCCGGTTCTTAATCTCGTCGGTGGTTAAAACGGCGATGCTACCGTCCGTGGGTGTCGCGTGTGTTCTTCTCCTCGGTTTCTCGACGACCACGCTGGTCTGCGCGGGTTTCTCGCGCTCGATGGTCGCGTCGTCGTCGTCGTCGTCGTCATCCTCTCCGATACCCAGGCCAAGAAGCCTGGTGAGCTGTTTGTCATCTAGGCCAGGTTCCAGGTGATCGGGAACCCTGTACTGCGACCTGAGCTCCTCGTGTTCCGACGTTCCTGGCAGATACGGGTAAATCGGTGGTGGTGTCTGTTCATGGAGTGTCTCGAAATCAACGCCCTCGAAAAAGGGATGCGCCCTGATGCTGGGATATCCGGCACCGTGTTCGTCCTGGGCACCCAATCTCTCGGACGGCTCGAGCACCAACAGCTGACTGACGAGAGATCTCGCCAGCTCGCAAAACCCGTCGGGTATCTCGTACTCGAGCTTCAGGATCTTTTGGAATATCATGTACTCGCTTCTAGAGCGGAACGGAGGCAGACCAGCGACCATCTGGTAGACTATACAGCCGAGGGCCCAGAGATCGGAGGCTCTGCTAGTCTTGTCTGTTAGGAGCTCCGGCGACACGTATTGGGCGGTACCGACAAACGAGCCTCTGCGTTCTCGTCGGTACGGTTGCTGTTGCTGCTGTTGTTGTTGTTGCTGTTGTTGCGGGTCGTCCGTGGCGGTGGTATGCGTCAACACCGTCTCCGGGTCCTTCAGTATCTTGGCGCTACCGAAGTCGGTGATAAGCACGTGCATCTTCTCGTCCAGCAAAATGTTCTCCGGTTTGAGATCGCGATGAATGATGCCGAGACCATGCAGGTACTCGAGACCGCGAAGGATCTCCGCCGAATAGAACTTGGTACACTCGATGTCGAACGAGCCAACTTTATTGATGTAGGGCAGAAGCTCACCGTTCTTCGCGTACGATAGGACGAAATAGAGTCTTTCCACGTCTTGGAAAGTGCAAAACAGGCGCACGAACGAATGTTTCGCGCCCGCGAGCATGTTCAACACTTCCTTCTCGCGTTTCACGTACTCGGTCTTCTTCTCCTTGATGATGTGACGCTTGTCGCACACTTTGATGGCGTATTCCTTCCCCGAGTGAATATCTTTGGCGAGGTAAACCTGTGACCAATCGAAATAACGCTCTGGTCAGATCGACGCGAAACGTTATACTCTCGGATAGTTCGAGGCGTTTCGATGATTTAATCCAGTTTGGCGAGAAATATACTTACGGTGGAGAAGCTTCCCTCGCCGATCACCTTGCCAAAGATGAAATCCTTAGGTGTACGCTTGTGCGTCGGCGGGTTGATGGTAGCGAGAGCCGGGTTCGCGGTGGGCGAAACCCGAGGCGCCAAGGTGTTGGCTGGCGCAACCACGCCGTTGGTCACGTCGTTCGTTGGTGGAGACATTTTGGACACCGGCCCCTCCACTCGGACGGCTCGAGCACCAACAGCTGACTGACGAGAGATCTCGCCAGCTCGCAAAACCCGTCGGGTATCTCGTACTCGAGCTTCAGGATCTTTTGGAATATCATGTACTCGCTTCTAGAGCGGAACGGAGGCAGACCAGCGACCATCTGGTAGACTATACAGCCGAGGGCCCAGAGATCGGAGGCTCTGCTAGTCTTGTCTGTTAGGAGCTCCGGCGACACGTATTGGGCGGTACCGACAAACGAGCCTCTGCGTTCTCGTCGGTACGGTTGCTGTTGCTGCTGTTGTTGTTGTTGCTGTTGTTGCGGGTCGTCCGTGGCGGTGGTATGCGTCAACACCGTCTCCGGGTCCTTCAGTATCTTGGCGCTACCGAAGTCGGTGATAAGCACGTGCATCTTCTCGTCCAGCAAAATGTTCTCCGGTTTGAGATCGCGATGAATGATGCCGAGACCATGCAGGTACTCGAGACCGCGAAGGATCTCCGCCGAATAGAACTTGGTACACTCGATGTCGAACGAGCCAACTTTATTGATGTAGGGCAGAAGCTCACCGTTCTTCGCGTACGATAGGACGAAATAGAGTCTTTCCACGTCTTGGAAAGTGCAAAACAGGCGCACGAACGAATGTTTCGCGCCCGCGAGCATGTTCAACACTTCCTTCTCGCGTTTCACGTACTCGGTCTTCTTCTCCTTGATGATGTGACGCTTGTCGCACACTTTGATGGCGTATTCCTTCCCCGAGTGAATATCTTTGGCGAGGTAAACCTGTGACCAATCGAAATAACGCTCTGGTCAGATCGACGCGAAACGTTATACTCTCGGATAGTTCGAGGCGTTTCGATGATTTAATCCAGTTTGGCGAGAAATATACTTACGGTGGAGAAGCTTCCCTCGCCGATCACCTTGCCAAAGATGAAATCCTTAGGTGTACGCTTGTGCGTCGGCGGGTTGATGGTAGCGAGAGCCGGGTTCGCGGTGGGCGAAACCCGAGGCGCCAAGGTGTTGGCTGGCGCAACCACGCCGTTGGTCACGTCGTTCGTTGGTGGAGACATTTTGGACACCGGCCCCTCCACCGTAACTGCCGGCTGTGGCGAAACGGTAAGCGCCTGGTTCGCCACACGCTAAAACAGAAAAGATCCAACACGTCTCGATTAGAACTTCTTTCTCCTAACTGTTTATACTGAATAACGAAGCTGAAACACATTAGGTCTTGTCGATAAGTTTGCTAATCGCGATCGGGTTCTTTTGGGAACACTCGAAAACGGTCGTAGGATAACCGAGTAGGCACGAACTCGCGTGTCCGGCCACTTAACTCCTCTCATCCGCCAACGATCGTCCGCTACCAGGAAATCAGGCGCCGGAAGTGACGCCACTCGAGCTCTGACACGTGGCACATCGTACAGGTCAGAATGACGAACTCGCCGTTACGTTACGTTACGTTACGTTAGTCGCTGCTCCGCCCGACCATCGGACGATCTCGCGCGGAATGAAAGCGACGAAAGAAACGAACCGGTGTTTCGTATCCCACGCACGTTCAATGATCGAGAGGCTGTGCGCGCGATATCAGCCTATGACGCGTATCGCGAATTTTGCCGACTCTCTTTTTCGCGTAACGTTTCTTGTCGACCGTGAACGAATTGGCCTGGATTTTCGACAACCACAGGTAATTGTATCTGTTTGACGCGAGGCGGACCTCCTCCGCGTATTTAAGGGTCCGCCTGTTCGCATAGAACGCGTAATTGAATCGAAAGGATTCGAATACATTTTTCTTGAAACTGCGAAACAAGGCGGATACGAAATCGAATAAGACAACGAAGCGCGTAATAGCTAGATTTCCGTGTACCGTAGAATGGGCAAGAAAACGAAACGAGACGAAACAAGACGAAACGAAATGCAAGAAAACGATTCGATCGAGAAGACTTGGGCAAATATTTGCCGAGATTGCCAGCCTAATGCGGACCGTCGGATATACGCGGGCAAAGAGCGCCCAAGGGAACGGGCAGTCGACCTGTCTGATCGAGGGTCGCTTTGTAATTGGAAATTATTTCCTCTTGGCAAGCCGAATCCGCTTTACATATTTATGCGTCGAAGCTTCCCTCTAATGTAGCAGAAACGGGGGCAAAGAATAGCGTGCCTTTAACATAATCGGCCCCACAGATGTTTCCCATCTACCTGTCAGACAGAGAGGGAACAGAGGGGTCAACGAATCAGACGCCACGATTTTAGACACTTTCCACAGTCAAGAAATTCAATGAAGTTTCGAAGGGTGCCTCTAACTGTGTACGACGGAGAAAGAGAAGGGTTCGAACATAAGCGTGATTTCGAAGCCGATCGCTTCGTTTCCGGTCGAGAAAGACGATTCGTGTCTGCTTTTGCCCGCCGCTTCCTTCCTCTCCCGTTGGCCTTTGTGTATTTCCGCCAAAAAATATACGATGATACGTTACAAAAGAAAGGAACAAGTTTTCATCCCTAAACGAGAGGATCCGGATGATACACCACCTTCGAAAAGCTCTACTTTTTCGTATCGTCTTTCGTTTTTCTCTACTTCGAAAAAAGGCGGAGTGTTTCGCCGCTTCTCGAATCCGAGAAAATCCGTGACAGTGATTTTTGTAAGGTGATGCGGACAAGGGTGGACGACTTCGAGGCAAACGGGCAACGCGAGGAAGTTGCGAGGTGCGGTGAACGATGCTACAGACACGGTTTGGTTAATATACTCATCCGTGGAAGGTTGAAGGAATTAATCGGAGGGAAAACGAGGCATGGTAGACGCAAAGATGGAGGCAAGGAGAGGGAGACTGGACGGGCAGAGTCGAGATGCGACGCGGTAAGAAAAAGGAGGAACTTATATTTAGAAGAATGAAAAGGCTAGTTGGCAAGGCCCTTTCTTTCATCCTTCTCGAATGCGCGTTTCCTCGTTGTTTGCAGGCCGGTTACGAGGCGGGCCCCACGGCGTCAACCATCCGTGTCAGGCCGTCGACCTCGTCGAGCATTTGCCCGAGAGACACCCAGCGGCCCTGCTCCCTATACTTGCCTAGCTAGCTTTCGCTTTACCCCGCTAGTTTATTTATTTGCTTATCTATTCGTTGGTCCCTCGGCTCTCGTATCGTCTCTCCGTCTCTCTCTCCCGTCATCGCTGAAGGAGAAACCACCGAACGGATACCGCAGGATAGAGAGCAGCGTCGATCGCTAGATATCAACGAGAAGTGACTCTAGCGGTGGCAGAGGGGAGTCTGGAATAATCGATATGCCGACTTACGTCCCACCAGACGACCTCGCGATTTGCTTAGATCGTAGATACATGTTAGTCTACCGTTCGAGAGTATCGGAAAGGGAGCTCTCGACTGTCTCGAATAAATCCCGTTGCTCGTTGTCTGGGTACCTGCGCGCACGCGGTCAGTCAGACGATACGTAATCGTCCAACCTTTCCACGGTGATATTTCGATTCGTCGATGACCCTGCGACACTTTCGCGCTCCCTCGAATAAGGCCTCGAGGACGCGGTCTGTTTCCGTTGGAAAGGGAACGCGCGCGCCTCGCCTCGCCTAGGCGTCAGGTCAGCAGTTAATCGTGAGCAGTACACTCTGCTGCAACGTAGGCTTCCTTTGGTCAACATCCAGTTTGGATGTTTGAAATTTCAGCGTTTTCCAGCGTTACTTTCAAATTCGTTCGCTCTGCCGTAGGAAAGGCTAGCGTATACGCGTGAGTTCCCTCGGCGAAAAACGCGAAAACAGCAACGGAGCAGGACGCGGTACCGCAGGGAAATTTGCCGGAAACCGAGCCACGCGACAACCACCGCGACCACGGTCTTTCAATCTTCTAAAAACGAATAAGTTCGCGGCGCGTCCGTTAAACTCGCCTTCTCCTTCTCTCGTTCTTTGCCTCCTGTACTACTAGCGGGACGACTATACGTTTCTTTCCTCATCCCGCGATCGCTGAATCACCCTATACCCACGAGCCAACAGCATTCCAACGGACATTCTAATTTTAGCCTTGCTCGTCTCGGCTCCTTTTCTCGCGGACGCGAGGCATTCTTCTCTGTTCCGCGCGGCTCGGGACGACGCGACGCGATGCTTCGTTCTAGCTCTCCCTCTCTCGCCGCACTTTCCCGCTCGGAGCTCGCGGGAGATTATGTTTTTTGTGCAGCCCGTCGAGTGCTGCCCTCTGACGATGCGCGTTTCCTCGTTGTTTGCAGGCCGGTTACGAGGCGGGCCCCACGGCGTCAACCATCCGTGTCAGGCCGTCGACCTCGTCGAGCATTTGCCCGAGAGACACCCAGCGGCCCTGCTCCCTATACTTGCCTAGCTAGCTTTCGCTTTACCCCGCTAGTTTATTTATTTGCTTATCTATTCGTTGGTCCCTCGGCTCTCGTATCGTCTCTCCGTCTCTCTCTCCCGTCATCGCTGAAGGAGAAACCACCGAACGGATACCGCAGGATAGAGAGCAGCGTCGATCGCTAGATATCAACGAGAAGTGACTCTAGCGGTGGCAGAGGGGAGTCTGGAATAATCGATATGCCGACTTACGTCCCACCAGACGACCTCGCGATTTGCTTAGATCGTAGATACATGTTAGTCTACCGTTCGAGAGTATCGGAAAGGGAGCTCTCGACTGTCTCGAATAAATCCCGTTGCTCGTTGTCTGGGTACCTGCGCGCACGCGGTCAGTCAGACGATACGTAATCGTCCAACCTTTCCACGGTGATATTTCGATTCGTCGATGACCCTGCGACACTTTCGCGCTCCCTCGAATAAGGCCTCGAGGACGCGGTCTGTTTCCGTTGGAAAGGGAACGCGCGCGCCTCGCCTCGCCTAGGCGTCAGGTCAGCAGTTAATCGTGAGCAGTACACTCTGCTGCAACGTAGGCTTCCTTTGGTCAACATCCAGTTTGGATGTTTGAAATTTCAGCGTTTTCCAGCGTTACTTTCAAATTCGTTCGCTCTGCCGTAGGAAAGGCTAGCGTATACGCGTGAGTTCCCTCGGCGAAAAACGCGAAAACAGCAACGGAGCAGGACGCGGTACCGCAGGGAAATTTGCCGGAAACCGAGCCACGCGACAACCACCGCGACCACGGTCTTTCAATCTTCTAAAAACGAATAAGTTCGCGGCGCGTCCGTTAAACTCGCCTTCTCCTTCTCTCGTTCTTTGCCTCCTGTACTACTAGCGGGACGACTATACGTTTCTTTCCTCATCCCGCGATCGCTGAATCACCCTATACCCACGAGCCAACAGCATTCCAACGGACATTCTAATTTTAGCCTTGCTCGTCTCGGCTCCTTTTCTCGCGGACGCGAGGCATTCTTCTCTGTTCCGCGCGGCTCGGGACGACGCGACGCGATGCTTCGTTCTAGCTCTCCCTCTCTCGCCGCACTTTCCCGCTCGGAGCTCGCGGGAGATTATGTTTTTTGTGCAGCCCGTCGAGTGCTGCCCTCTGACGATGGTACGCGACACTTTCCTCTCCTTTCCCTCGGTGCGCGCCGCGCGAAACCGAGTCGGAAAGAGGATCGGGGTGCAACGAGAGGAAGAGAGACGGAGAGAGGCAACGATCGCGTGTGCACCTCCCTTCTCTTCGCCTCTCGGCGTCGCATCGGGGGCTTTTTGCCGGCTACCAGAAGAAAGGGACTACGCCTATTGGCGCAGGCGGCCAGCACTTTTGCCCGTGAATGAGATGTTTTGCATTCGCAGACGCTGAGAAACGTGTCGCGCGCGGACTGCGCGACCAAATTGGAACACGCCACGGCTAGAGCCGCTTGCCTCTACCCTCCACAGTCCCGTTCGAGAGAGCACCAGGCGGAGGAGGAGGCGACTCTAATAAAAGGGTCGACAACGTCAGAGCAGCACCGATTTTCTACCAGGCTCGTCGATTTCTCGGCGTATCGAACGCCACCTCTTTTGTGTCGATCTTCTCCTGCACCTGATCCACGCTTTTACCTGCACCCCTAGCTCCCTTCCTCTCTCTCTCTTCCTCGGATAGCGAAGCACCGTCTACCGTATTATACACGAGTAGTTAGCTACATGTGAGGTTAGTTATTTTTATTTCGAGAGGATGGAATTGCAGGGGAGCAACAGTCGTTCTAGAATACGATATTTCGACTTTGTTGCGGTATTTCGAACGCATGGTACGCAAGGATACGACAGCAACGTTTCCAATGTTTATATATTACTCGTTAACTGTCGTTGCTTCGATTTCACGGATAAAACAAGCGCATTCGTTAAAGCTGCGTGATTAGCGTGCAAATGGGAAGTCGAGTGCGAACAGGTATTCTACGGTTTCTGTTTAACGCGTTCAGCTTTCCACTCAGGCTGTTTAGATAATTTCGTGCGTAAACAGGCGTGTGTACGATCGTTGGATCATTGGAAGGAAATTCTACTCTCCTCGTTTCGCTATTAATATTTCGAAATATTATAACTCGTATTTCGCAACAGTGTCGACCGCGGACCATCTCGGGCCCGTTCAGCCCGAATCGAAAGTCGTGTCAAGTGGTCACGGCATTCTCCACAAAGTTAAACAGTTATCTAACAGAGTTTTTGCTATATCGAAAGAGGGAACTAATTCGAACCGCTATTTATGTATATCGAACATATTGTTATCTTGTTGCACGAGTTCACGTAAGAGAAATAAAAAGGAGACAACTCGAACCGTAAACAACGTTACCGTACTACGAGATATGTGCGGCGCGCGCGTGTATATACATGTATATATAACCGATCAAGATTACGACATACTGTTATCGACGGAAAACAATCTGGCGTGTGTAACTATCGACCAGTATCGATAACTACGAACACTACCGTTATAGCTAGGGAACTTGGAAACACGCTCTGCATTCGAGAAACATAATATGTCATTAACCGACTGATCAAACCGTCGCTCGATAGCCAACGACATTTTTTCTCGACATCGAACGCGATCGAGATAAGGACGAGCTCGCAGCACCGACAAAGATCGAGCTACGTCGCGACCGAAGCGGCCACAAAACTCTGTTTGCTTTCACATCGTATCGTATAAACAATCTCTGGTCGATACAAACATGTTTTTTCGGTCGCGGACCTCGAGCGAGCGCGTTATATAGCCGATGCTCCGCGAACGTAGCGGAATTTTGCGATCATTCGAGGTTCACGTGTATCGCGCCGAGTGGTTCGACCTTACGGACCGATTCCTGTAATCCCGTCATTTTCTCGCACCGCCGAATCGAAACGAGGGGAGAGCCGAGCAGTCGATACACGCGCGCGTTATTATCGTGCACTGCCTCCTGTTTAGTCGATAATCACCTTTCGACGCGCGCTAAATTCTATCGCGTCACACTTTTCTTACAATTTTATTTTTCGCTCTATCGATATCTTGTCGCTTAATTTCAACAACCGAATTAACGAACAAATTTTACACAGTTCTCTTACGATGCACTATTTTTTAACGTACGCGTTGCTCCGCTTCCGCTACGAAACGGAGGAATATTTTCGTTCGTGAATAGACGCACTGCCGAATACCTTGTCCCGAGCGCGTATCGAATCTTACGGAGGACTCGGTATCTCACCGCGCGACATTCGGAATATACTATTTTCGTGAGAATTCCTTTAAATTTGTCTTCGAGGGTCAATGTAAACAACTTTCGAACGGCATATCGTGATTACACCCCGCCTGTTTTCGAAGCCGAGACACGTTCGGACGGTTTTATTGAAATTTCACAGGGCGTAAATTATTCATGCTTCCAGGCACTCGATTTTTTTCGTTAGCTTCGAGCGATCGAAAAATCTCGCTTATACGATATTTCATAGACGGATGGCCGATAACGTTTGCAGGGGAAACGGATTTGACGAGAAATCGAAGAACGATACGACGTTTTCGCGGCCCAGGACTTTCCCGCCTAATCGAGAGAACGAAAACACGCTCGAACGGCAGACATATCCGTAAACAATGGAGAAGAGGAAAAGAGAAGCACGTGAAAATTGTTCGATTGCGGCAATGAAATAATTGGCGATCTCGTGGAAGGCCGCCGCCTGTGGGAAGAGACGCCTTTTCAGTACAAAGTTGCCACACGCTCTAACAACGGATCCGTGGGAACGCGGTTCCCGTGAATTCTCAGATATCCTATCGAAGAGAAGGAATTCGTGTCGTCGAACTAGTAACTGGCGAAGCAAAGATGCGATGCGCGACGCGACGCGTTGGACGCGCGCTACTTCATCGTCACGGCGATGAATATCGCCGAGCGTCACTTAGCGGGATTTCGTCGAATCATCGTAAACAGGAACGACGAGCGTTTCTAAAGTTTTCCCTTTTCCGTTTCCGTGAGAACGAACACTTGGAACCGAAGTGAATAATCGTTGCGCGTCCACGCACTCCGTCACACTTTTTCGCGACGCTGAACCTCGTATCTCTGTTAGAAAGATGCCTTGTGTCTCTTACCTTGAATAATTTTTTAAGCCTCCGGTAGCCGCGATGTAATCGCGACACGTATTGCTTGTTGGAATCCAGTTTGATTTGTTAAAGCCACAGTTGCGGAAATAAAAATTAACCAAAATAAGAGTCGAATGAACCGAGGAGAAAAAAAAAGAAAACTGTTTTTTCCGTTGTTGTTGTTGTTTCTTATTCGTTACTGAAGTCTCGAGAAATCGGGTTGGTGTGTCGCGGTTGTTTGGTTTGACGGTTTTAAAATGCGAATTTTTCCGACAGCGTTTTGATTATGTTTCTTTCGGATCAGTCTCGCCGCTTCCGCTACGAAACGGAGGAATATTTTCGTTCGTGAATAGACGCACTGCCGAATACCTTGTCCCGAGCGCGTATCGAATCTTACGGAGGACTCGGTATCTCACCGCGCGACATTCGGAATATACTATTTTCGTGAGAATTCCTTTAAATTTGTCTTCGAGGGTCAATGTAAACAACTTTCGAACGGCATATCGTGATTACACCCCGCCTGTTTTCGAAGCCGAGACACGTTCGGACGGTTTTATTGAAATTTCACAGGGCGTAAATTATTCATGCTTCCAGGCACTCGATTTTTTTCGTTAGCTTCGAGCGATCGAAAAATCTCGCTTATACGATATTTCATAGACGGATGGCCGATAACGTTTGCAGGGGAAACGGATTTGACGAGAAATCGAAGAACGATACGACGTTTTCGCGGCCCAGGACTTTCCCGCCTAATCGAGAGAACGAAAACACGCTCGAACGGCAGACATATCCGTAAACAATGGAGAAGAGGAAAAGAGAAGCACGTGAAAATTGTTCGATTGCGGCAATGAAATAATTGGCGATCTCGTGGAAGGCCGCCGCCTGTGGGAAGAGACGCCTTTTCAGTACAAAGTTGCCACACGCTCTAACAACGGATCCGTGGGAACGCGGTTCCCGTGAATTCTCAGATATCCTATCGAAGAGAAGGAATTCGTGTCGTCGAACTAGTAACTGGCGAAGCAAAGATGCGATGCGCGACGCGACGCGTTGGACGCGCGCTACTTCATCGTCACGGCGATGAATATCGCCGAGCGTCACTTAGCGGGATTTCGTCGAATCATCGTAAACAGGAACGACGAGCGTTTCTAAAGTTTTCCCTTTTCCGTTTCCGTGAGAACGAACACTTGGAACCGAAGTGAATAATCGTTGCGCGTCCACGCACTCCGTCACACTTTTTCGCGACGCTGAACCTCGTATCTCTGTTAGAAAGATGCCTTGTGTCTCTTACCTTGAATAATTTTTTAAGCCTCCGGTAGCCGCGATGTAATCGCGACACGTATTGCTTGTTGGAATCCAGTTTGATTTGTTAAAGCCACAGTTGCGGAAATAAAAATTAACCAAAATAAGAGTCGAATGAACCGAGGAGAAAAAAAAAGAAAACTGTTTTTTCCGTTGTTGTTGTTGTTTCTTATTCGTTACTGAAGTCTCGAGAAATCGGGTTGGTGTGTCGCGGTTGTTTGGTTTGACGGTTTTAAAATGCGAATTTTTCCGACAGCGTTTTGATTATGTTTCTTTCGGATCAGTCTCGGGTACATATATGTATATATATACATATATACATATATATATATATATATGTGCAATGCGCGGGAACCGAAGAACGAAAAACACGTTCGTGGCCGTTGAGAGCCGTTCGCTTACTGAATTCTACGCCTGGCGTGTCCCGGCTGCTAACCCGCGCTTTCCCCCTACCACGCACCACTCGTTGGCGGCAAGCTATCCCCGCTATTTCGCCTTTCATCCCACCACAACCTCTTCCACCTCCAGCAGCGAGACCCGCATCCGGGAGTGATGGAAGGGAGAACGAGGGGTAGACGATCCTTCCACTTCCAGCATCGATGGTAATCTTACCGCGGATCGTAAAGCACGCTTACCCCTGCGGTCAAGTGCGAAAATTGCAATGAAAGCATCGAGACACCTCTAGTCTCTTTCTCTTCTCTTCGCTTCCCTCTATCTTCTCTTCTCTTCTCGTGTACCTTTGCCACGGACGTTTTTCCTTCTTCCTCTCCCTCTTCGCCGCTGCGGAATGAAAAACAGAGAAGACAACGGCCCCGAGGATAATATCGTTTTCTTCGATCGCGGTTAACTCGCATTCCTTCCGCGAAAGAATCTTTATTCGAATCTCGAGAATCGATGGACCGTTCTTCGAATAATCGTCGAGACCGATAACGTTACGCGTTTTCAGTTTTCGGTTTTTATTAGGCTTTCCTAGGAAACATTCGTTCGAATTCGTAAAAACGTTTGTACGTAGCTAGAAGCGACCGCCGATAACGAATAAATTCGATCGTTCCAGGTAAAATCGGTACGCTATCGATGATAATAAACAGCGTATATCGTAGACGGTTTGTCATCATCGTCAAACGTTCGGAGTAAGTTTACGTGCGAATTTGACCGGCGTGGAAGAAGGAGGGAGGCGAGTCGGGGAGAGAAGCGTTGAACGTAGTAAGCGGTAGTGGGAGAGACTGGGGAATCCCGCGCGGAACGCATGCGCGGTTTTATTGGTGGGGTTACTCAACCGACGGCGCCAGTATTCTGCCCCCTCCCTCCCCCTCCCGTCCTTTGCCCCGTCGATCTTGAGCTGCTCTCGGTGCTGGTTGCCTTGGAAGGGAGGGACATGGATCACACGCGCACACTGCCCTCTCTCTCTCTCTCTCTCTCTCTCTCTCTTCCTCCCTCTCTTTTCCCTCTTTCGCGCTCGCTCTCTCTCTCTTGCGGTGTGTTTGTTTGTTTATAGTCGCGTTCTGGGAAATACCCGATGCGAGTAACGGACTCTTGTGCGCGCGAAGGCTTCCATTCCCATTCTGGCGTTGCATCCGGTCGGTTCGCCGCCAGTATCCCGACGAATGCCTTCCTTAGTATTCTTCTTTACCCTGTCACTTAACGTTCCCTCTTTCCTGATCGTTTCAACGCGTGTCCTTTTAAAGTCTCCTTTTACGTTTATTCGTCCCGCGTTCAATGCGAAAGAATGACTGCGTGTTTCCTCGTTAACACCACGATTCTCTAACGTTTAACACCAATTTTGAATAATCTATCAGCAGCGTATTACTTTTTATATTTTGATCGTCTCTTCGTATTTATATCGTCTCGTTGCCGCGTAACAATTCCGGTACGATGTCCGTGCGTATCGCGCACTTTGCGAGAGAAAGAGGATCTGTAATTTCCTCGATATCGGATCGATAGGCATCGATTTTAAGAAACATCTGACGATAACGCGATCACGACTTGCCCGATACGATCGAACACGCAACAAACCGATAAGGAACAACTTTTATCGTTACGTTCTCTTCGAAAAAAGTAGTTCAGTGATAATCCGAAGAATGCAGTACACACGCGGTACTCGTTGACTGTGTCCGCGCAAACGTACGCGTATCTACAAATCGCACGTTAAATATTGTACAATGGAATTGTGTAACGATATGCTGCGCGGCGCCGTATCGCGGTAAATCGAGACGTATCGCGCGATAAAATTAATTATCAAATTGACAATAATCATTTTGTCGGAAACGTGAACGTTATCGAAGTGACGCGACGGTTGTAGTTTGCGAAAGATACACGGTCACGCATTATATGGCTAACCGTTTTATCGACGCGTATTGCACCGTCACGCATTAGACTGGCACGCGTTATATCGTCATGCGTTGCATCGCTACTTTACCCTACAACGTTATACGTATATCGTAAATGTTTTTCTATGTTGTATTTCGTATGATTCGAAACGTTTACGAATAACGCTACGTATCGTTGACGATGGTTATTCGTTTCGCGAATCTCGGTTCATTTATTTGCGTCTCGGAAAGTACGGTATCCGTCGTCGCTTACGCGCGAATGCGCGGTCGACCAACGTTCGACGACGCTTACGAGCCTGTGTGGCCGAAACCGATTAATAATTTGTAACTGGTCCATTTAACGATATTGTTGTTCGACGCTGAACCGTTAATATCTTGTTTACACGTTCGGCTCGGGCAACGGCGCAGCCGCGACGTTCTTGCAAGGGAAAGAGATTGAATGCGACGGAATGACAAAGTCCAGCATACCGAGAATGGTTTCGCAGTTGTTGACTCTTCCGCGAATCAGAGGCATTATCGTTTCTTTAAATGAATAATTGCCAGTTGTTATATCGTTGCAGTACAAACTGACTCGTCTAATCATCTATGACTAAGAAATATTTTGATCGGTCAGCCAGTGTTAAAAATATTTATTGTTGCCTACAAAATCAAGTACGCGCGTACTATGATTGTTCGCGTTCGGTTCTTTTACTTGAAATAACAAACGATTTTACCGAGTGTATTTATTTCGGCGTTACTCGTCGTCCGTTAAACTCGAACGCGTTCGTGAGATTTCGAGGATTCCCGAATCGTCTGAAAGATAAAGTTCGTTTGCTTCTTTTCCCGACGAGAGATCACCTGATTGTTGGTAATCACCGAAAGATTCCATCGGCCGATATCTCGACGCGCAAAGGATCGCGACTTAACTCGTAACCGGTATGGTGGTCATTCTGCCATGTAAAAAGTACATTGGAAACCGCGTAACTAGTCGTACGAACCTATGACGATGGTACGGTAAATAGGGGACCAAGAAGAAATAAAAAAAAGAGGTAAACCATATATCCTGACGGGAGGTTTCCATTGAATATGTCACGCAGTCATCGAACTTAGGAACGTTATTATCGTGATCGTTTGCTTCGGTGGCTCGTTGCAGTGTAAACACCATCCGTCGCCGACCAACTGGCGGCACAGAAGGCAAAATACATAGCCGGAGAGACACGAGAAGCCTCGTGACGCGTTGCCGCGCTACATAATTAGCGCGCGAAAATAGATTTTTGCGAAACGAGCCGAGCTTCGCTCCGCTCTGGTATGTCAATGAAAACAAATCCTTGTTCCCCTTTTTTCCCCTCTACTGCTCCCTTTCTCTTTGTCGAGGCCTGGTAACTCCGGCGAAGGCCGCCGAATACTGAAATATACACACTCGTTTAGAATAGTCGAATCATTGTTTGCTCGATCGAGAGAGAAGTCACCGATTTTGCTGTTGCTCGCTTTTCAACTAATTTATCAACAAATCGCATTTGCTTTCGAAATAATCTAGGTTACGAATAAATACGAATGTACACCTAATATACAGCACATGTATACGTGTACGAATCTTTTCGAATTTCTCGGTATTATAAACAATCGTCGTATGCTGCCAGTGAATCGTTAATATCGAAATAATATCGAAATTAAGAAAGTAAAATCAACTGACAAACGAGT